CCAGGCACTCCAGTCTTCCTGTCCTCCTGCAGTCTGGTCAAACTCATGCTGGTAGCTTCGAGAACACTGTCTAACCAGCTTTGTAACCAGAGGTTCAACTGACTAGAATCTGAATCACATGCACCACAAGGCCTAAGCAGCCTCAACTTAAGATGGCTCCCCGGCCTAGCTTTGCACTGCAAAGTTTGCAGCAGCACGTGCAACAAAATGGCGTCCAGCATTCAAAAAAACCCCAGCTTGCATTAACTAGCCACACACAAGGCATGCAAGCTCCACCCCCCAGTCGTTCTTAGACTTCTTATTGGGTGAGGAACACAGCCAAGCAACACAGTTGGAGCCTCCCTCCTCCCTGGCCGGCAGGGAGGGAGGGAGAGGAGCTGCTTCCTTTGAAATTTAAGGGGCATCATTTAAGGGACATTTAAGGGACATCCATCAATAAGGGACAGCAGCGGGACATGGCGCTGGAATAAGGGACTGCCCCTTCAAATAAAGGACACTTGACAGCTATGCTCCCATATCAGTCTCTACAACCACAGCAGGCGCTGTAACTCTCCAACGATTTGACTTCACCCCCAAAGGTGCACTCCTCCCAAGACATATGCCAACAGATGCCAACAAGTTGCCAACACAACTCTGTTTCTTAAAACTTTTTGGACTCGCTTCCTTTTTGAAGCTTGTATTAGGAAGAGAAGCTTGTGACCTCCTAGATGTTTCTAGACTGCAATTCCCATCACCAGTGACTATTGGCTTGTTGTCTGGGATTGATGGGCATTGGAGACCAAAACACCAGGAGAGTCACATGTTCCCTATCCCTGATTTAAACTTTTAAAAGAGCTTATTGTGTACACTAGGGATTTATATTGGTTTTGCTTCAGTTTAACGGTAATGATTTTCTCTAACAAATTCCTCCATGGGGGCCTGCCCCACAGTTTAAGAACCATGGCAATATATTATATCACAGAGCCATTACTGGGAGCAGGGGTTTGTGCCTTTGAGGTTCTGCATTTAATTGTTTCAAATAAGAGTCAGGCCGGATGTAGTTAATGCAATAGCTAGCCAGAGGTAGAAGTCTCATCCTGAGGACTAGCCACTTGACATAGATGGGGTTCAGGTGGAAGGGCAAAGCTTTCCCCTTCCCTCTCCAAATGGTGTCCCTGAACACGGCCTTTTCTCTACTGCAGGTCAATTTTGTTTGAGGTAAAAAGAGCAAAGAGTCCTAAGACACTAGCATATTTCTTGCGACATAAAACTTTATGGATTAGAGTCCCACCTTCATCAAATGCAGGAAGTGTTCAGTTTGGGGTGGGGCATGTCTGGTTTGCTTCCCTCCCTCAGCTGATGAACTTGGAGATCAGGCAATGAGAGAATGTTCTTGATGTGTTTCTTTGAGTATCCTCTAACTTAGTTCTGGGCAACAGAGAGATGTCCTTTGCTTTCAACCTGGTGTGAGGTGGAAGAAGAAGAAGAAGAAGAAGAAGAAGAAGTGGAAGAGTTTGGATTTGATATCCCGCTTTATCACTACCCTAAGGAGTCTCAAAGCAGCTAACATTCTCCTTTCCCTTCCTCCCCCACAACAAACACTCTGTGAGGTGAGTGAGGCTGAGAGACTTCAGAGAAGTGTGACTAGCCCAACGTCACCCAGCAGCTGCAGGTGGAGGAGCAGGGAATCGAACCCGGTTCACCAGATTACGAGTCTACCGCTCTTAACCACTACACCACACTGGCTGTCAAGGAAAGAGGAAGCTGAATTTAAGCAATTATAATGTTTAGGCAAAATGTATTTATATTGCACATTATAGAATTGTTGTATACAGGCAAACTCTCAACTTACGTTCCAGGGATCACACTTAAGGTCAAAATTGCATACCGTCAAAACACACTGGGTAAAATGGTGAGGGGGTTGGCAAAGTCTTTTTTCCTGGATGTCTGCCCCTTTTCCGCCCCCTTTTTAAGTTAAAAAATTGCCAGGCGTGTAAAGCTGAATGCACACAACTTAAATGCGGGTAAGTTGCAAGCTACCTGTATTTTACATTATGTGCACTTTTTATTTCAAGTACACATTACAGAGTAAATCTCTATAATCTCTGCAATATGTAGAGCAGGGCTTCCCAGATTGAAGTCGGCGGACCACCAGAAGTCCATCACACTTCTGCATTAAATAGCCATATAGATTTTTAATTGTTGCTTCTTTTATTTCTTATACTCTACAGTACTCTATTGTATTACAATTTGAAATCTAAGGAATGCAACTGTAATACAATAAAATGCAATATGAGAAATAAAATGCAATAATAATACAGTTTAAAATCACAAAGCGTTTAGCAAAGCACATTACAATTACTACAACAGGCCTGGAAATCATTAAGTCTGTTCCCAAGACCCTCAACCATTTTAAATTGGTCTGTGGGATAAAATGTTTGGGAGCCACTGATGTAGGGTTCCTCCCTCTATATAATTTCAATATGAATTTCAAGTTTGGAGAAGCCAAAAAAAGGAAAGGAAGAAGTGAAGAAAGAAGTCAGTGTCATAAGAAGTAAGTGAATCAAGTCTTTCATGTTAATTGGAACGATGTATAGGTTAAAAAACACACCACTTTTTTACAGGGAGTGGATGAATTCATTGGCTTAGTCCTCTGCATTCGCAATCATTTGGTCATTTAATATGCAGTCCTATATTTACTTGACTGGAAAACTATGGGACTTACTTCTACGTAAACATATAGAGAACATATAGAGAAGTGTGCTATATGATCCCACAACTTAGTGCACTCCTGAAATATCAAAAAGTTTGGAGAGGATGATTCAGCAGCAGCCTGAAAGGATTAAATTGTTTTGAGCTGTAGAAGATCTCAGTGATTGATGACTTCCATGGTTAATGACTCAGGAACTTGCATTGGTAATATTGAAAATGTGAAAAATAACAATAATAAAGGCTGCCTCTGAGTATATGCAGAGGACTCCCCACTCCCACCCCCGCCTACTAAATTGCATAGCCATTCTTTATGAAAGGATTAGGATAAAGTCTTCCGCATCTGAAGCAGTTTTTCATAGCTTTAAGTTGAATATAGAAGAGTAATTAGAATAGCATTTCACTTACAAGAACAACCAACCATCTTCTGTCTCTCTCTGCAACGTATATTTCAATAAATAACAATGGTGGTGATGATAAGAATATCTATTACATTATTGGCTTTTTCAATGCATAAAAAGAGGAAACTTATACATTGCTTAACTGGACTGGTCAGATTCCAAGCAGGTGATGGAAAGAAGCATAGGACTAGGCCTGGAATCAAGTCCTCACTTTCTCATTAAACTCACCAGTTGATATTGGGCCAATCACCAACTCTCGGTCTACTTCACAGGGTTGTTGTGAGGCTCTATAGAAGAGGAAAACATGTGTGGTTTTGAGGTCCTTGGAAGAAAAGCAGAGTACAGCGGTACCTCGGGTTAAGTACTTAATTCGTTCTGGAGGTCCGTTCTTAACCTGAAACTGTTCTGAACCTGAAGCACCACTTTACTAATAGGGCCTCCTGCTGCCGCTGCGCTGTCGGAGCACAATTTCTGTTCTTATCCTGAAGCAAAGTTCTTAACCTGAAGCACTATTTCTGGGTTAGTGGAGTCTGTAACCTGAAGCGAATGTAACCCGAGGTACCACTGTATGATGTAATAAATGGCATAAAAGGCATTGTCAATGACTGAGAGTAAATCTGGGCATGTCAGTCTGTGTTTGTGATTCTTCCCCAGAATTTGCAGGGTGCTTAATATTTATTATTCAAAGCATGGTAAGTGTTGTAGTCGTCGTAACGGTGTTGTGTTCAATTATGCCAAAAGGAATTTTTTGTGTTAAAAACACACAACAACAACAACTTCGGCTGCCGTCCTAAACGCACCATGATAAGCCCCACTGAAAGAAGGACTCAAATATACATTAAACATGTGTAGGATTTGTTTAAGGCATTTGACCTTAAAACAACAGCAGCAAACACATTTGCCTATCCGAAATTCTGTGTGATATAACGTAATCTTTCTAAAACCCGCCCCCTTTTCTTAAATCCATGCCCACAGTTTGAAGGTCCAAAGTACAAATGGAGGAGGCTATTTCAGGACTGTGGGGTTTTGGAAAGGGTGGCAAGTCGCACCCCTTCTCTTCTCGCTCCCCCAGCCTCCACATATCCTCTTTTTTTTTTTGCTTCCCGGTTTAACTCTTCTAAACCCAACTGAAGCGAATGACACACAAGCGGAGTCGCTCCTTTGGTGTCCGCATTAATCAATCTGACACGTCCATTCATGCCGTGGCCACGGGAAGGGAGTGTTAATCGCTGGTTCTCTTTGACTCTTGAAGGGTGTAGCATTCTGCCATATGCTGGTATTTTCCAGATCTGGCTCTCTTGGGGCGAGGGAATTAGTCGACCCTTAGTCTTCTGGGTATATATGGCTGGCCTGTCTACCCGTTTCGGGAAGGGAGACAGATAGACAAATTAGATGCATGGGAGGAGGGGGAAAGAGGCTGTTAAAGCGGGGCGGGGGGGGCGGGAAGCTGCTCCCATTCTGTTTATTGTAACAAAACGAGTTATAAGAAGTTCCCAGAGAAGATACGGGGAGGGGGGAATCCCATGTCAGCCGCTTTCCTGCCTGGTAAGTAAATTTCTCAAAGAGAATTTCCTAGCCACCCTGAATGGTTCAGATGCCACAATTGGCAAAGAGATAGCTTTTTCTTTATTATTATTTTTTGTGGAGGCCTCGTAAGACCTTGCAATCTGGTGCATGTCTACTCAGAAGTTAGTTCGAATGGGTTACTGATATGCTTCCTTGAAATTCAGCCCCCGCTGAGTACAAGGGGACTTTCTGCTTCTTCTTGCAAAAACCGAAGCAGATTGTAGAAATAAGGCACGAGTCACTGAAGCACTTTTAAGTCCCTTTGATTTCGCTTTCCATCCTCAGAACTAAGCTCGCTGTGTTCAGCGGGACATGTTCCCCGGTCAGTGTGTGAGTGGCTAGGACTTCAAATAATTATTTATTTTTATTATTATTTATTACATTTGTACGCCGCCCTTCATCGGAAAAGCCTGAGGCGGTTCACAACAGAAGAAATACAAAATGAGAATGCAGAATACATAGTGACACAGAAACGAACCAATAACCCCACCTCCCACAAACACAGTTTCAAGAGGAACGCTTTTGTCTGGTGCCTAAAGATGTATAATGAAGACGCCAGAAGACCCTCGCTGGGGATAGCCTTCCATAAATGGGGAGCCACCGCAGAAAAGTCTCCTCCACCCTCCCGACTTCTGCTGGAGGAGAAACAGGAAGAAGGTCCACCAGAAAAGTGCTGATTGCTTTTTTCAAATCTCAGAAATAAGGTCCCAGATATTAGCCCTTGACTTCTCCAATTGAACCCAAGAACCTGAAGAAGCCAAAGTGGAGAGTAACTGAGGTTAGATGAAGACATCGTCTGCCTGCGTTTTTCTCCCTCCCTTACCCTCTTCCTCCTTTTCCAGATTCCCCTCTAATCCCAGTTTTGATTATATCGGTGTGAACATGCAAGATTATATGGGTGTGAACATGCAAAAGCGCCTCCTTCCACTCTGGCCTGGCTGGCGTTGTTGAAGTAGCTTCACTTTTATCCAGGCACCTGTTAGTTTTCCCTCTCCTTCGGTCTAAAGTTGGCAGCATACATTTAAACAGGGGGCGTCGTGGAGTGAGCCAGCAGCCCCGCTATACCTGGCAGAAGCAGAATGAATGAAGTTCGGGGCTCAAGATTGATCTCTGGAAGAAAAGACCTTGAAGAAGGGAACAATACCGCGACGCCCAAACGAAGTCCCAGCTAAGTCGCAGCGCTTGAATTCAAGCCGACTTTGGTGTCGCTGAACGACACCGGCTGGACAAAACGATCTGGATTTCAGTCCGGAGTGAAACCGATTTAAGTCGTGCTAGCACCAAGGAGACTTTAATCGGTTTAAATCCAGACACTGCGCCCACGCAGTGCATTCAAAGCGCATTGTCCCTCTCTGGGAACTCTCCTTTAACTCTCACAGAGCTATAGTTCTCCGCACCCATAAGAACCACATTTCCCAAGATTTTTGGGCCGGAGGGAGGAGGAGAGAGATGCGTGTTTTAGATGTACTTTAAACCTGGATCGGGCTGACAGGTGGCTGTAGCAATTCTTCACCTGCCTATTTGGGGACGGGGAGGGGCACTTAAAGGAAAAGTGGATGAGTTCAGAAGCAAAAGGTTTGAGGGTTAGCTGCTAGACTGATGGCAGGGTCGAATCAGGTAGCGGAACAAATTTAAGAAGGAGTAAGTCGCGGGTCTGGTGGGAAGGTGCCGGCAAAAGCGATCTGATTTCAGAGCTATCCGACGTGGGATGGGGGAAGCCTTACACCCCACCCACTTCTGCACTCTTTGACCCGAGGCATCCCTTCATGCAAGTAAAAAAAAAAAAAAGTCCCGTTGATTAAAAATGAATTGCGCCTCTCCACCAATAAAATCAAAAATCAAAGTACCGCTGCTTAGGGTCGCATCCTCTGCAGAGCATCATTCCACACACAGTGATAACGTTTCCAAAGACATCAGCCGCAGGAGGAACTCCCTACCGAAGTTGATGCTCTGAAGTGACCGAATTTCGGAATAAATCGTTTAAGAGCGCGAAAGGGAAAGTGCGAGGCGTGGTGAGGGGGGTTTCTTGCCTCCCCCTTGCAAACTGCAACGGAAGAAATGCGCTTGCTGAACGTCCCCGTCCCCTCCATGGGCGTAGCCAAGAGGGGGAAGGGAGGGGCAGCTGCCCCCCCAATCAATAATAATCAATAAAAATACATAGCAAACTGAGGTTCTTTAACAAAAGGCCTCTCTCCCCCCCCCAACAAAAATCCTGGCTATGCCCATGCCGCTCGTCCTGCCTGAGCAAGCCCGCGGGGGGGAGGGGGCGACGTGGGCTCGGTGCTCCCCCCGACTCCTTACCGCCGGCCCTCTCCCCCTCCTCCCACCCCCGCTAATTCCCTCCCCCAACCATCACCCGCCTTGTGGTCAGAGTTCTCGGATCGAGGCAAAATAAGCTCTCCCCCCGCTCCCGTCCCGTCGATCAGCCTCCCCCTTCGCCGGGGAAAGAGTTAATGGTCTCTGCCGGGCCGCTTGCTTCCACACACCACGAAGGTAAGTCACAACCAAGCCCGCGCGCCGCCTACGTTCAAACCAGGCGAGCGGGTTTTCCCTTGACAGACATACGGGCAAGTCAACGCGACGGCAGCCGACCTAGCAGGTGATCTGGTAGCAGAGAAGCAAGGGGCCGGTGAATAGGTTCCCTCCCCACCTCCCGCCGTCCAGGAGACAAATATTGGGGGGACCGGGATCTCCTTCTCCTCCGCCGTTAGCTCCCTAAGGATTTCGGGCCCTCCTCCTTAATTCAGGAGCCCCCCTCCCCGCCAGTTAAGTTTGAATTGCCAAAGGGAATGGGCTGCGTTTTGCTGCGCTCCTTATCCTGTCCCCTGCCTTCAGGATCTGTCCCGGGTCGTTTTTTCCCGGTGCGCCCAGGTGTGCACCTCGGAAGGAAGCGCCGCCTCCAAGTGGAAGAGCGTTTCCGAGAAAACTTCGCCAGCAAACTGTCGAGAGAGCACTTTTTTTTCGGAGAGAGAGAGAGAGATCCGCGCGGACCAACTCTCTCTCTCTCCCCTTCGACGGGCAAGTCGCTCTTTGGAGAGGAAGAGGAGCGAGAGCCAACGAAGCGCGCGTTCAGTTTGGGGATCCTCGTGAGCGATCGCGGCCGGGGTGCGATTGAAGCGGAGGGGACCCCACCCCCGTCGAGAAAGGGGGAGCCGTGGCGGCCCCGTCCGCCCCCTCTCCTCTGCTTCTTCGACAGGCCAAGCCGGATGGCCGGCTTTTTCGGAAGAGGAGGGCGCAGGGTTTCCAAAAGGAAAGGTCCCGGAAAGATGGCTCTGAGTGCGCACGCGCCCCTTTTTTCGGGGGGGCGGGCGGAGAGGGAAGGGAGAGAGGGAAACACCCCCCTGGCCCAGTCCCCGCCCCTCGAAGGCCTGCGGCGGCGTGAATGAGAGACGGAAACGCGCTCTCTTTAATCAATGGGACGCGGGGGAGGGAGGAGGGGAGGAGCCGAGGGGGGCCGCCCATTCACTCGCCTGACACCCCGCCCCCTCCTCCTCCTCCTGCCCCCAGATACACACGCTGCCCATGCTCCATATAGGCGAGCCTAATGCCTTCGCCAGCGCACAGGGAGCAGAGGCTGCGTCTCGGAGGCAGCTGGCACCCAGCGCTAGGGCGAGATACGGATATAAATGCAGATACGGAGAAGGCGCTTCCAATCTAAGGGCTTTGCGCCTGGATCGCCCGTCGTCGACACCGGCCGCGTTTTCAGCTTTTGTTTTGTTTTGTTTTGTTTCCCCCCTCCTCCCTCCTCCCTCAGCCGCCTTCCGGCCCCCACAGGCTCCCTCTAAACTTCAGCGGAGCGGGGCGGGCGGGAGGAGCGAGCGGGCAGAGGTGGAGCCGACGGGAACTTGCGGCAAGTTTGCAGCGAGATCGGGAGAAAGGAGCCGCTCCGGAGAGCGCTTGGCCGCCGCAAGAAGCGCGATCGCTGGCCGGCCGCCTTGACGGCGCCCGTCGTCTTCCTACTGCGCCTTCGACGGCTGCAAGGAGCTGGTCGTGGCGAGCGCAGGAGGGGTGCTAGCGGCTGAGCAGCCCGGAGGGGAAAATCCAGCCCGGGATCTCGAGGGGAAGGTCGTCAACCTGTTTCAGGAAGAGACCAGCGAGCGAGGATGACGGCCGGAAAGGAAGCGCCTCGCTCCCCGTCCACATAGGAAAGTTGACGGAGACAGACGGGCGGGCACCGGACAGCCTGGCTGAGGGTCTCTGCGGGAAGCGGACAGCTCCCGTCCCCCTCTCTCTGGCAATACAGATCGACTTTAGATTGGTGCATTGGACTTCAAAGAATTAACACTCCTAACTAAGTTTTTTGGCCTGTTCGCACCGTCGGGTTTAAACTTTTCTCGGCGGCCAGTCATGCTGCCGGTGACGACTATCCGGGGCTCCTTTGCTGTCCTCCAGTCGGCTGTCAAATGCCCCGATTCCCGCCAAGAGTAAACGCCAGTCGGACTTGGGTGTTGCAAGGAGCGCTTTGCTCGAGCTAAGGAGCGGGCCATTGGAGGGCGGGGGGCGTCGGGGAACGGGACCCTAGGAGCAAGAGGAGACCCGACGGCGCGCCTAACCACCGCCAGTTATAGGCCGTGGCAGGCAGACTGCGGCGGGGTTTTGCCGGAGCACGTTTCGGGGTTCGGAGAGAGGGGGCAGGCACCCCCGAATTTGGGCGTCCGGAGCGCAGGAGCCACCATTGATTTCCTGCGGGTGGCTCGCAGCGACGGGCTGGGCGCTGCCGCCGCCGCTGCCGCCGCTGCCGCTGCCGCCGCGGGCATGGCCAAGCCGGTGGACCACGTCAAGCGGCCCATGAACGCCTTCATGGTGTGGTCGCGGGCGCAGCGGCGCAAGATGGCTCAGGAAAACCCCAAGATGCACAACTCGGAGATCTCCAAGCGCCTGGGCGCCGAATGGAAGCTGCTGAGCGAGGCGGAGAAGCGGCCCTTCATCGACGAGGCCAAGCGCCTGCGGGCCATGCACATGAAGGAGCACCCCGATTACAAGTACCGGCCGCGGCGGAAGCCCAAGACGCTGCTCAAGAAGGACAAGTTCGCTTTCCCCGTCGTGCCCTACGGCTTGCCCGACGCCGCCGAGCATCACGCACACCATCTCGGCCACCACCACGCGGCCCTCAAGGCGGGCGCCCTCCACGGCCACGAAGCCCTGCTGGCCAACCCGGAGAAGGCGGCCGCAGCCGCCGCAGCTGCAGCCGCCCGCGTCTTCTTTCCCCCGACGGCGGCCGCGGCTGCGGCTGCTGCTGCAGCGGCCGCTGCCGGCAGCCCTTACTCTCTGCTCGACCTGGGCTCCAAGATGGCAGCGGAAATCTCCTCGTCGGCGTCTGGAGGCTCGGGCGGAGGAGGCGCGGCGTCGGGGCTGCCCTACGCCTCATCGCTGGCTTACCCGACGGCTGGCGGCGCTTTCCACGCGGCGGCGGCGGCTGCTGCCGCGGCTGCGGCCAGCGGCGGCCACACTCACTCGCACCCGTCCCCGGGTAACCCGGGCTACATGATCCCCTGCAACTGCAGCGCCTGGCCCAGCCCGGGGCTCCAGCCCCCGCTGGCCTACATCCTCCTGCCGGGCATGGGCAAGCCCCAGCTGGACCCCTACCCCGCGGCCTATGCGGCGGCTCTATGACATCCTGCCCCCCACGTTGGACCCCTGTACAGAGGAAGCCTGTGGGGCGCCTGGGGGCTGGACTCCGACGCCGGACTCTAGCCGACGGGACCCTCTTCTTCCCAGCCTGATGCTGCTGTTGCCGCCGCCGCCGCCGCGGTGCCCTCCAGCCATCTGCTCTACGGGGCCGCCGACTGGGGTGTCCGGACGAGAACATTTCGCCTCTCCATCCGTCTTGTCGCCGCCCGTCCATGTCTTCAACCTGTTGCCTTCCCTTCCCCACTCCAGAATCTGCTCGCGCTGCTCCTCTCCTCGGGTTTCCTCGACGGATTTGTTGGAGGGTGATGGGTGGAGAGAGAGAGGAGAGAGGTCGCGCGTCTCCTTGTCGGTCATCCCGGTGGAGACGCTTCGGGTAGCCCGTTGCCTTTTCTGCTCGACGTCTCTTGGGATTGTCTTTTTCTTTTCTTTTCTCTCTCCTTAACCTCTCCTCCCCCCAAATCCTCCTCCTCTCTCCCTCTCCCTCTCTCTCTCTCCACACCCCCGCTAAATCCTGCCCTGTCCACAGTAGGTCCAGAAAAACGGACCCAAAGCCATCAGCCTTGACTCCACGCTGAACCAAGTGGACGAGGCGCACACAGCTAACCACCCCACGAAATAAGCAGAGTTTGATACCTCGCTTTAAGAGGAGGAGATTGGGTCACTCAAAGGAGAATCAGTATGCACTCTCGCTGTTGATTTCCTCCTAGCTCCCCTCCCTTCGCCCTTTCCCCTTTTAATGTATACAGCAAAGTTCCCCATGACAACTTTTGTAATTCCGGAGAAGGGACCTGTAAATGTCTACATGCGCGTGGGAGCTTTAGGTGTAAGACTGCTTCGCTGTATTATCTGAGTCACTTTTTTAAAAAATGAGATATAAATATATATATATTGGCTGCGATCTTAAGCACACAGTACCTTGGTAATGGGTCTCGTTGCAATCCATGGGGCTTGTTTCCAAGCAAAACTGTGCAGGAGCTCGAGTGCCATAAATAGACAGCGCCAACCACAGCAAAACAACACCGAGGCGAATTGCAACAGACTGCGAAACCCCTTTTTTGGGGGGGTTTCGGAGTTCAAACTAAAAATAAAAATCAGACTTCTTGTCTGAGAGATAATTCTATACTTTCTGTGATGTTGGCGTATCCAAAACTGCTGTGTTTCGAGCGAAGACGTTTGAAATCCGCTCCCTTTCGGACACCTTCGGAGTGCTTCCATGCGATTTGGCCCGACTGGGGAGGTGGGGGGAGGGAGAAAATATTCTTCTTATTCTTCTTTTAAATAAAAGCATACAGGATTCAGTTGCAGGAAATGATTTTGGAGGGCGGGGGAAGTCATTCTGAGCAATCTCTTCCATCATGACCTTTTTCGTTTACTTTTGTAATGTGTATATTTGGATTAATGTTTGTGAATCAAGTTGGCTAACCTGTATTTAGTTTCCTTTCCTTTTGTTTTTCGCTTTCTGTAATATAAGGTTTTTGGAGGGGGGGTAAGTTTTTAAGTATTGGTTTTAACATTTGACGTGTATAAATGAGTTTGCTGGTGTGTTCTAATTTAAAATTAGACGTCTAAGCTATATCTGTACATTTAGAATCCGACTTACCACTCTGTTCATTTTGGAACAATGAGTTTAAATAAAAGCCTGAAGCAGGGGAAAGAGAAAAATACTCTATTTCTTGTTGAGTTACTTACAAGATTTTAATCTCAATTGCCCTTACCTGCCTAGGCCAGGTGAAGTGTAAGGTATCCTCCAAAGACTTTCTTTGTTTCGCTTTTGAATAGATTGACTAGGAAATCTAAATCAGACCATTGTAAGGTAGAACTAAACCCTGATTTATCACATTTGAAATCGTGAATAGGAAAGTAGGGTCCCCCCCCCTTAAAAAAAAAAATCCAAGTAGCTCTATTATGTGGGGGATGGGTGGGTGGAGAAAAAGAAACAGCATTCATTTGTTGGTTGGATAAGACACACAGGGAACCCTGAACCGGTTTCCGTGTAGTGTTTTCCGAGTAGAAAGTTGTTTGCCTGCCCTGTCTTCCCACTACAAAGGGTTTCTCTGCTTCAAATCTGTGCAATTTGCTAAAAGTATCCTTGGGATATTTCTTATATTGCACACCTTGAGGTCGTCACCTGGCACTCAGGACATGTCGTCCGGGCCTGTTTGTTTTCAGTCTGAAGCAAATAATTAAAAGCAGAGCGAATGGGGAGCCAGCCCGGTTAAAGAACCTCTTTTAAGGACCATTGATTTCAGTGGCCAACGTTTGCATGCCGCCCTGTTAAAAATCAGCGGGCACTTACTTTGACGCTGCACCCCTAAAAAAAACCCCTTTAAAATTTCATCCAGGTAAGCACATATCAGATCGGCGTGCCCAGCTGCAATTCTTGGCAACCTGGACTTGGAAGGGTTTCTCGCTCCGGTTACTTTCGAGAATCCATCCTCAGGGCTGGGGTGGCACTCGGTTTCCATTGAGCCGGTTTCTTAATTTGTTGAGGAGAGAAAGGAGGATGGAGAAAGGCTCATTGAGCAAGCCTAAAAGGGAGGAGGGGTACTACTTCACCCAACGGAAGGGGAATCAGCTAGAAATAAAGCCCCCTTCAATCAATTTCAGCTTCCAAATCTATTTTATTAGCTTGGAGGAGTTAGCTCCCTGTTCCAAGGCTGGGCCCAACGTTTGCTTAGGAAGGGATTTCTTCTTGCAACTCCCCTCTTCGGTGGACGAAATTGAGTTTCCTTGTGCAACACCCCCCTCCTCGCTGGACGAAATATCCAGCGCCATTCTTGGCACGGTTGCTTGGAGGCAAGTCCCGCGGGAAAAGCAAGCGGGTCTCTTGCTCCCAAGCAAATGGGCAATGGCGTTCACACGTGCGATTTCTTCCCAAGCGCGTCTTTGACTCGGAAAGAGCTTCAGTGGGACAATCTCAACCGAGTATGCAGAGGACTGGAGCCTTAGTTTTTCGAAATGAAATGTCTGTGTGCATTTTGCGGGGTGTGGGTCGGTGGGATTCCGCGTGGAAGGTGGGAAACACGTCCGAGCAAGGATGTCTTCCCCGACCTGGCACTGCTCATTAAAGCGATCTTCCTTTGTCGCCACTCCAGCTGTCCCCCCCCCCCCCGCCAATATCCTAAGTGAATTCATATGGTTAGGAGCGATTATGCAAAACTAACTCGGACTGTCCAGGGGTAATTAGCCCTGACACGGTTAATTAAATCCCTTTCAGGGCTCGCCATCCTCCACCCCCCTCCTTTTGTGGCAGCCCATCATTGCTTCACATGGAACTTCCTGGTGCTCTCTAGAAATCCCAGCCCTAAATCTTCCCTGACCCCGTTCTCTGTTCTGTGGACTCTCCTTGGACTCGAGGACCCGGGAGGCACCGCTGACTTCTTCTTAGGCGCCGTAGGGCCTTATTTCTTAACTCCTAAGGCCCGTCGAGGGGGTGTTCACCAAAGGAGAGAGCTTATAAAGGGTGGCTCCCCCTCCTCTCCACCCCAGAAACCCCTTTGCAATGCACGTGGAAATGGCGTTTCTCGTCCGCCTTGGACAAGAACGCAGAACGAGGGGGCAGAAATAGCTCCAGATTAATCAACCTGCCCCAAGATTAATCAATCTTGTCCACTTTTACTGAGATGTAAATCGATCGGCAGGACTGACCGAAGCCCTAAAGGATCCTCCATCCTCTAGTAATAGCAATAATGCACGTTGTGATCTTGTGTATGCAACCGTGGTAAACTTTCGACCAACTTTGCCGCCTGAAGCGCCTTAGAAAGGAATAAACAGAAGGGTGAATCGTTTGTTTTCCCCGATAAGCGGGATTGTGCGTGGAAATGAGTCCCACCAACAATTAGTAAGGCAGCCTTACTGCTAAGTAAATGGTTTTAGTTTTAATTTCTTCGCATTCCGCTCGGGACAGGGACCCTGGCCGTCAACCGTTTTTTGCCCAAGGATCGGTGGCTTTTGCAAGATCAGAATTTCCCCTTGCAAAGTTCAAGCGTGCAAAACGTTTCAAAAGAGGAAGCGAACTGGCCCAGGGCTGGCGCAGAGATCACGCTCTGGTCCTGTTCTTCACCCAAGGGCGGGGGTGATCCCAGCCACCATCGCATAGCAATTAATTTGCAACGACGTTGTCCACGGTCTCCAAGTATTTGAATAAGTACTTGAAGCAAACATCTCTTAATTGCAGTCTGGGTTAAACAGAGACCGATGAAAGTATGGAATGGGTGTGTGTGTGTGTTTAAAAATGGGCAACTTGTTTCCTAACTCCCGTACCTCCCGCCCCACGCCGTGGAAGGGAACCCAGATTTTTCCCGTGCAGGTCACTTCCGACGGAGGCCGAAGATTCCTGGAAAGAATGCAGAGGAGGCGAAGATTCCACCAGAGAACGGCAAGAGCGCCAACATTCCACCAGAGAACACCGGAGAGCTCAAGATTCCACCAGGGTCCCTTCGACGACAGGGGTTAGAGACGGAGCGGCGGCCGGCGCCACCGTCGGGGAAGACAACACTTCAGACCTGGAGATCTGGAGCCCCCCAGATGGGACGGAGGAGGCGACGGCCTCTTGGAGGAGGACCCGGGACGGCGCGCAGCACTTTTGCCCGGAATGAGGACGACACCGCCCGTCCCCCCGAGCACCAGTCGCCCCCCCCCCGGGCCACTCACTGCTTTAGAAACTTTCCTAATCTCCTCCTCGCCCCTATCCACCCCCCCACCCGGCCCTTCCCTTTCTCTCCTCCCTCCCGGTATCCCTCAAAGGTCACCACTTCCCTTTTCAAAGACTGATATTATTAATTCGCGGACAATTTCCCTCTCCTCCGCAAGCTCCTTTTCCTCTTTCCCCCCTCTTATTCTCTCCCCCCCTCTCTCTCACACACAAGGGAAATGGGGGCAGGGAGAGAAGGGACCAAATCGAGAAACGCTCTCTTTCTCTCCACCCCCCCCTTTTCCCTTTCTCCTCTTTTTTTTTTGTTCTGCAGTGGGAGCGTTTAGACTGTCGAGGGGTTTTTTTGTGCCAGAACAAAACCAGGGGTTGGGAGGTTCTGTGAGGGTGTTGTTTGTTGAAGTGGAGCTAAGAGAAAGCGGCGGCTTTCTCCTCTTTGTGAAGAAACCAATCAGTGGTATTTGGAAAACTGTTAGCATTGTGCATTTCTTCTGTGCCCATTGTAAAGCAGTTCTTTTCACAAGGCTTCTTCTTCTTCTCCTCTTCTTTTCTTTCTTTTTCTTCTTCTCGGGCTTTTTTCTTCTTCTCTCTCTCTCTCTCTTTTTTAGCCGATCCAGCTGGCCAGACTGAATAGCGGTGCAATTGTGTACACGCTTTGTCCCTCCGGCCCTTCAAGTAGCCCCCTTTGAATAGACTAAGTTGACACTGCATGACAGAGAAACAACATAATAAAAAATACATGAGCCCCTGAATGGGAACAGGCGCATAAATAAATAAAATGGGTGACCAAAACTGGATAAACTGAATGACAAAACGGTGAAAGGGGAACAAAAAGATATTTAACACGCTAGATTAGCATTAGAATGCCATCGACAAGACTGAACAATTGATGAATAGGGTTACCGGCGAAGAAAGAAAGAAACTAAATGCCCTTTGAATAGATTTTTTTTTTTCGTGTGTGTGTGTGTCGAGGGCACTGAATAGAATATGCTTCTTGCAAGACTGAATGAGAAAAGGTAAAAATGAAGCTATGCAAATTGGGGAGAAGATGGGCGTGCGTGTGTATACGCGGTTATGCATATAGACATGCACACGCATATAAGTACGGTACATATTCCTGTGCGCGCGTATATGTTTGAGAGATGCGCATCTACGCATGCATACGCATATCCTTGCACGCGCGCACACTGCACTGGCAGTTGCTTACAGCAAGCCGAATTACTGAATATAGATAGCCATATGCGGGGCATAATACAAACATACATCCTAGCTGGGAATATGTACACACATCTATGCATATTTATTTATATATCACACGCACTTTATTTTTAATTCAATGGGTTTTTCCCCAGCTTTGTGTGTGTGTGTGTGTGTGAGAGAGAGAGAGAGAGAGAGAGGGAGAGGGGAGAGAGAGACGCTTGCAGTTTAGGATTTATAAGGTATTGCAGCAATATCCGCGCTTCTTTGCATAGTCTTGGGATGGGAATCAAATAACTGGATTGATCGTGGCCATTTTCCGAGGCCTAACTCTTTTTGACGAAGGAGCGGATCTCCACGCACCCATCACTAATATTTCCCAGACAGGTTAAGTTCCCGCGAACTGACCTCAAATCCCGCCCGGTCCTGAAATTCAGCGAGCGAACCCGGGAGGTTCCTGCTGCCGCCTGCGCGCAAATCACATCTTAGCTCTCTGGTTCTCTAGTTATTTATTTCGTTTTTTCGACGCGTTTGTGGGAAGGATGGTCTTGTGGGAAGGATGGCAAGCCCCCGCTTGGGAATGCGAAGTGGTGAGGAACTTTTCGGGAGATGTAGCTAAGGAGAATTAGAGCAGAACCCCGAAAAGTTTGCAGAGAGTTTCTGCAGTTTTTTTGTGGGGTGCTGAGGAACAAAACACTGCAGCCTATGATCTATCTTGCTCTCGGCTAGAAACTGTAGGCACACATACAGGAGCGGAAAAGCCTTTCCGCCGCCTTCTGTGGTCCATAGAAACGACGAGAAAACGTCC